TATAAAATTGCAAGTTGTGGATGGCCGACACGATAGATTTAAGGTGTTTTGAGTATTGGAAAAGCTTTCAATTAGCACTACTACTGTAGCATTTGTCAAAAAGAAAAAAAATTTCGGTAGAAAAATGACAGCGTATACACAATATTATTATGGTAAAGGCTTATCCACCCCTAAATGCTTTAGTAATTTTATTTTGTACAACTAAGGTTAGTAATTATTACAAACTTTTCTTGTAGTGTTATTATCAAATAGTATCGATAACATATGTATACTCAATTTATGTTAATTAGAGTATCAATAACATATCAAGATGATCAATAACAAAGAAGTAATTGCAACGGTGCTATTTTCTTAGGGTTATTCTTATTTTATTTAGCATTCTCGACATCTATGTAATTTTTTTCTTTCACTTTTCAATCGTTAATCTGCTCCTGTATATTTGAGTTTTATTTTTCTGGGTTTTAAATTTTAATCAGCTAGCTAGATTAACAGTAGACGTTTCAAACTTGAACTTGAACCTAATTATGACATTTGGAAATGGAGTAAGAAATTTTGGGAATCTTATTCCTGGTTCAAAACTATGACTATTGACTATTAACTGGTAAATTAATGTGCGAAAAAACTCGATCCGAAGGTCACGCCATATCACACTCAATCACGCTAAACTCTTTCCCTACGCGGTAGTTTTGCTTGACCTAATTAGCCATTCTTTGTTTAGTCACGTCTTCCTCTTCTTCGTGAAACTTACCAACGCTTTTCTTTTCGGTGTCAGAAGAGGTCTCAAATTTTCACTCTCTTCTCAGTTTCAATTACGTAAATTTGTAAATCTGACTCTCTCACATGAGCTATGAACGTGATCACGTTGGGAAATCTCTACAAAAGTTGCGTGTTGCAAACAAACGAAAAGGTTATCAGCTCTATAGCGGTTTTCAAACGTGGGAAATCTTATTAAGGGCCACAGGGGGCACGTGGCCCCACCTGTGTTGTTGTCCTTAAAAAGTGGTTTGAGCAGGAACCAAAGTCCTGTTAAATTGTAGCTTCCTTCCGTGCTTGGTATGACGTCGAGTCGAATTATGGTGAATAATAATTAACTCACCACCACCACAAATTGTATCACTCAGTCCTAATCCTTTTTGCTATTTTAATTGTATCTTTAGATCAATAGTGTTATAGTCCACAAAGAAGAAATTGGAGTAAAGTCTATATGATTTATCCCTTTGTGGACTATACCAATATTGATCTAAAGATACAATTAAAATGGCAAAAAAGGATGGGGATGTACGCTAAGCATACAATGAGTAATGGTTATACAAGTTCTCGATAAAATGTCTCACTTAAAACAACTTGAAAAAATTTTTGGCGCTTCGCCTGCTGCCTTTGAGGTTCAACGAGGATCTACATCCGCCACTACTTAATTGTGCCCCGGATAATCTAACTTTTTAACTTTACCCCTGCACCTACATACGTAACACATGTTGCATCAACGAAGGAAAATTCGTTGTACAAGAACATTTTCTAATATGAAGGGCTAGTTATCATACTTAACAAATTCTAGGGTTCGTGAGAGCATGTGATATCAATAATAGTCAATTTTTCTATTTATTTTTACTAGTGTTTTACATATGCATGGGTGGCTATTGGCTATATACTTAAATAATATATGTACTTCTGGTTTTGTTAGGTCTGGTTTTGTTAGGTCTTAAGAACAGGTAAAAAACGGAAAAATAATGGGTGGCTTTGACTATTGAATTTTGACCAACTAGGGTATTGAGTATTAACCATGACTGCACCAAATCGTGCCATACTAACTGATTTGTGTAGACTACTTTCCCTATCTATGACAATAATAGTTTAATCACATGGTGAATTAAATTAAGAAAAGTGAGTCTCATAGTTCTATTTGACCTTTTGCCCTCGTCTGTTTAGTTATGTAATATTTGATTTTTCTTTAATTTATACAATCTAATTGGCTAAAAAAATGAGAGAAAAGGTAAAAGATCGTGGATAAAAGGTGAAAGATGTGGATATAATTAAGAAGCCAAATTATATATGGATTTCATTGAACTGATAGTGATATTGATATCATCGGGGAATATGTACTGAAAAAGAAGCATGCATTGCATATAGAAGCTGGTCAACTTACAAAGACTGGAAATCTTTCTGTGGTGAGGTTCATAGAGTATAGATTAGATTAGATCGATTTATGTCTAACCACGAAGAAGGAAAGATGGCTGTCTGCAATGTATCTGCCCCAATTCTTTCAATTCCAATTTGTGTAAAATGATCACTGGTTTACTTGACAAGCACAGAAATGTCGAATATATTCTTGTTGAGCTTTCCTGCAAACTTCGTGTGACATATTAAGTATTTGAATTGACGTCTATTGAGACAGAATCAAGCAAAGCAAATGACTTTGACTCTTTTGGGTCGTGGTTTTGATGTGTGACTAATGTGCCGATGGTCACCGGGACAAAACAAGGTTCAATTTTCGTTGGGACCAAACAGTTCCCATGCGCCAATAAAGTTTGAACTTGTGAATGGACGATGGAGATTGATTCACAATGTGGGTGGAGTTAGATGAACAATATTTGATTTGTAATCCTTGATGAATTTTCTTCAAGATCTAATCAAACACATGACTGGTAATAAGGTCACGTTTTGCGTAATTATCAAATTTCAGGGTGGAATATGTTGAATGAGATTCTAAAATCTTTCCATGAATTTTTTACATACTACCAACTCTATGCATTAAAAACGATATTTTTCGAGAAGTTGCATATAATATAATTTCGCACATTTATAATTAACTTTGTGTTTGGTCTAGTAATTTTCCTCATGCAATAGTTCTTAAGTTGAACTTATATTGTCTTAAAAAAAATATTTGGACCCATTTATTTTATCCCTACATGCAACTAAACAATTTTCTCCACTAACCTCTCAATTTTGCCCTTAATAAATAAGAAAAAGTAAATAAAGATGGGTGTTTTTCTCTCTACACACCAATAACCTAAAACCACCACACAATTACACCTTTTCATTTTTTCCACTAAGCTCAATGACTAATTTGGCTAATATATATATATATATATAGACATAATTTTGTTAATAACGATTTTATTTTATTTTTTATTTTTTATAAATTTGTGTGGGGTATTGTTTGTTGGTTTTGGTTTTGGATGGGATGACAGTTATTTTGTCCTGGCATATATCTAACTAGAGGGCCACGAGTTTCTGTCACATATACTGAAACACTCTTTCATGGAATCCTACCTTATCTCTGTAGGGAAAAGTCTTTGATTCCTTACCAAAAGAGGTCACTTTATTAGCATTCTTGTCAAAGCAGGGTGTTTTGTGATTGATTACTATTATATTAAGAGTTTAACACACAGACAGCCGAACCATTTTTACAATTAAGACACTCATGTCCTTTGAGTATCTTTGTCCATATAGTTTGATGCCGGTTCAGCAGACCTATGTGTTTACCAATATAGTTAAGGATGTTGAACATGGTGCAAAATATTTAGAACTTCACAGTGAATTGCATAACCTTGTCTTCAAGTTTTAGAACTCAAGGGTGAGAGTGTTCCTTCCTCGACCAAAGTCGCTCAATCCAGAAATTAGTAGCGAATTCTACCACATCACCACATTCAAGTTATTTGCCCAGTTGAGCTCGATGGCGAATTGGCATGCCCGCATCAACATTCAAGTAATTGACAAACATAGTTAGCTCCTAATTACTCGGCCTCCATGCAACATAAATTAAAAATTTTAAGATTTATTGATACAAAACAAAAACAAAAACCAAAATTGAAAACAAGAAGTTCTTTTCCTTTCAAGATTTTGTTTTCATACCTTCACTTGTGTCTTCTCATCCACCAATATCTTCTTTGATCCTTAAGTCTCAATTTCTCCATATAGTTTTCTTCTATCTTTATACCGAAAGAATTAAATGATTATTAAATTGTCCCTAAAATATTGTGAGAAACTATTGTGCTAGATGTATTTTCAATGATTGAATGTTAAACTATATATTTAACAACGTATCAGTGTTTTGCACTATTCATGTCATGTGAAATTACACTAAACTCAAATCTAACTCATTAGTTGTTTAGGAGGATATCATTCTATAGAATGCAGTTTCTCTCCCTGTATCAAAATGTGTAGTGCAATTCCAGGCTTCAATAAATTCAAAAGCACTTATTTTCCATTGCAATTCTGAATCCCTAGATTGGCATTAATGGGAAGGTCTTTACCCTAAATTTTTTTTTTTTTCCAGAATGATATCCACTCTAAAACTTTGTGTCCTGAGGACTGAGAGATTCAGACTTTTTAAGAGAGAGAAAGAGATCGAGCCATTCAAGTTTTTAAATTTTTGTAAAGTGGGTCAATGAGATGAGCTAATAGAAGCCATAAAATTGAAGCTGAGTGGTTTGGATCTATCGCTCCGCGTTTCCCGGACATAGAGATGAAGGAGTGGACTTCAATCCCTTTTTTCCCATCTTGAAAGCTCCTGTATTGTTTTATATTGTAGCTTATGATTTTAAAAATATCTGGTTCTTGCTTTTAATTAGAAAACTTTATAGCTTGAGTTCACCATGTGGGCATGGTTGCTGCCTTATCCCTCGGCCTCTTTCATCCCTTTTCCCACTGAAATTAGAGTCCTTCTCTACGGTGAAAACTTCAACAAGTGATAAATTAACAGATTCTGCTGACTATTTAGTTAAGCAGAGCTGGCTTTGAATGCTACTGCTAATGGATCTGCACATTAGATATACACTCTTAAGTCTTAGCTCCATGCGTAATCTTTTCAGTATTGTTCTATACAAAGTTTTTTCTTCATTGTGGTTAACTATAAATTTTAAATGCTGACGGCATGTCTGCATTTATAACTTCGCTATCGTTTATGTTGATACTGCAAACGCTTATAATATCAATATGTTATTGATGCATTATCTACAAATGCAGTTAACTACAATGTAAATGACTGGTTCTATATAAAATACAATGCAAAACAGATAATATAATGTTTATTTAGTTACCAACAAATCTTCAAGTCACTAAAGTAGTGATAACTTTGGTTACATTCTACAACGATTTCCACATTAATAATAAATAAACTTGTCTCTTTTGACAGAGATCTTGAAGTCTAGTTCAACCAAATATTTTGTTCACACACGCCCGTACTTTAAGCTAAAAACCCTTTTTCCAGCAGCTTCTAGTATAAGTACTTAATCACTTTCAAGCAGTAGTTTTAACTGGACCCAAACCAAAACTGGTCTTAACTTCCACTGCTTTCATAGCTTCAAATCTGGGTTCCTTGGCCTGGAACTTGACACCAACATAGTGCTTCATGTAGTCTTCGAACACGAATTTCGGGTACACTTGATTCTTCTCCTCTGCGTTTTTCTCCACTATGGTTGGTGCTGGGTAGATCACTGCATCACTGCTTGGGTTGTAGAATGAAGCTATTGACATTCTGGTTCCATCTGTTTGGGCAATCACTCTGTGCTCCACACTCTTGTATTTTCCATTGGTGATCACCTATAGGAGTTCAAGTTGTATGTTTATATATGTAAGTAAAATCGAAGAACTTTATAAAGTGCAGTTAACCGCACCGGAGATCGAAGTTGTTGAGTTAATTGGTTTAAGTTTTAATTACCTCAAGCTGGTCACCAAGGTTGATAACAAGGGAGTGGCGCATGGGAGGCACATCAACCCACTCTCCGTCCTTGAGGAGCTGGAGGCCACTGACCTTGTCATCCTGGAAGAGCAAGATGAGGCCGCCGGCATCGGTGTGGGCCCGGAGACCCTTGATCTTGTCATTGTTGGGACATGGAGGGTAGTTGCTAACCTTGGTGCCAAAAGTTGGTCCATTTGTTCCATAAAATGCCTTCTTAAGGTACCCTTGTTCCAGTCCAAGATTCTCACACAACAAGTCCAGCAGCTGCTCTGCTAATTTCTCCAGTTTCAATGCAAACTCCTTCATCACATTCCTGCACGTATAAATTACTCATCACAATTCCTCATCAGAAATCACATATTATGCCTCAAACTCGAAAACCAAGTAATTTCAGGGTAACGATAATGATTTTCACACGCTCATATTTTACTTCCCCGACGAAGAGTATAGGGGATAAAACGGGAGTGCTACTGTGTGTTTGCTATACCTGTACTCATCCTTGAGATCTGGGACCTGAGAGATGTTGGATTGAGGAAGATGGCGCAAGTAGAAAGTGCTTTCCCAATCCATATCGTTGACTTCTGTCTTAACGGCCTCAAGGCCTTTGCTGGCCACCAACTCCTTGAACTTTTGCTCCAAACACTGCCGGTAGTGCTCTTTTGTCAGCCTCTCCACTGTGTCCAAAAACTCAGTTGGAATCCCATGACTCACCAGCTGCAGTATTTGTGAAAAACACAAAAAGTTAATTATAATCTGAAATTTTTAAGAGAAAGAAAGATGAACTGAACATATGGAATTAAGAAGCTAATTACGAAACGTAATTAATTATGGTTACCTCAAAGAAACCCCAGTTCTCACAGGCATCTTTGATTTTCTCCATTGTAGCTTTTCTTCCCTCACCATTGAGGCTCTCCAAGTTGATAACTGGGAAGTTCTCCATTTCTCTATTTCTCTCTCTAAACTATCTCTCTCTCTCTCTCAACAAGTGTTTGGTTAATTTGTTCTTGTGGAGCGGAGTTTGGTGTGTGCGCGCTATTTATAGAGCTAGCAACGACCCAAAACGTACAAAATAAAATGGTAGTAATTAAACACATGCAAATATTTGTGACGGTGGTGGAGGGTCAGGTTAATTAATTTCTACTTGAGGAATTTTCATAAGGAAATTAATATTCTAAAAGGAAAAAGATTAAAAAAAACTCCTAAATAGGATAAACTATGTAGCCCCACCATCTTTGTTTGGACCAATCATGGGCTAAAATCATTTTGCCTTGTTCTACTTTATCTTCTCTTGTGCATTATTTTTACCGTTCTCAAATAGTAGTAATATTCATTATTTTATTTATTATTATTGAATTAGTTTATATTTTAACATTTATATCTATCTACTATAAAATTTTTAAAATTTAAATTTATCTAATAATGATAAATAAAATACTAAGTATTATAGCGAAAATACTCTCTCTTCGTTGTGCACTAACCAAATGGAAAACGTAAAAGAAAACATTCTCTCTCTCCTGTTTGAGTCTTTCAGTGACTTTGACCAACCCACCCCATGGTTGCTGGCTGGCCCACGTTTCCATTGCGTGCATGCAGATGGCCCCCACTGTAACTTTCTTTCTTTATTTTCGTCAAAACTTCCTATCCGTTTGGAGTTTGCCCTGACAATGATTTGGAAGGAAGATGCTTAGCTCTTGCTCTTGCATTTTCCAAAATTCTTTCAAGTTTGATTTATTTACTTATTAAGACATGGATATTTTTTTGTGTGTGTTCGTGGAGCAATTTCCAGTATATATCAGAAGTTAGCTACTTAGTGTTATTACCTCTCTCAAATGATAGTAGAAAAATTAGTATGTTAATTAATATTATTATTTTAATATATAAAATTATGTATGACGTGCTTTGTGTTTCAGGTATTTAACAAACCAACTCTACTGACGGACGTCATGCATTCACGTGGGCTGCTTCCATGCTTAAGTTAGCATCGAAATCTAATAGAATTTTCTTGGATCGTATAGTTTTAACTTTTAAAAATAACAATATGCCAATCTAATATATATCCTGCATTAACCATGAAATCGGATAGAGTAGTTAAGTAGGTTTCCATAATGTTTGTACGGTAAAAATATGTAAGTAGGTTTTTTTATTGAGGGAACACAAGCATTATTCATTTTATAATCGCAATCATTCAATTTTTTTAATCTTCATTTAGAAATCATTTTTGTACAAAATCATTCTAATTAGAGATTATTTAGTCATTCAAACATGTGGAACAAATCAATGGTGTGAATATTCATGATGAACTATCTATTTATTTGATACATTTAAATGACTAAACAATCTTAAATTCTAATGATATATATAAGGATGACCTTCAAATGAATATTAATAAAAAAATAACAGTTTTCATTATGAAATATATACGATAAAGATATGTTAGATTCCTCCCATATATTCTTAAAAGGCTTTTTATTTTAGCACCCCACATTAAAATTTAATATTAAATGATTTATTTATCTTACTATGCAATGACAATTTTGACCTTATTAGGTTCAAAAAAAAATAAAAAATTTCTAAATACACCCCAAATCATTTTTAACGTATTATGTATCTTCTTCAACTATCAAAATCTCTCCGACCCTCCATTGTTGAACAAAACCCTAACCAATGAAACTACGAACATGTTGATTGAGAAATTTAAACACAAAATCGATTTTTCGGAAGCTTCAAATGAGGTAAGCTTCATATTTTTTATTGTTTTAGAGACATCAATAATTATTTAATCTTGATTTTGTTGTATTATTCAAGTTTCTATGTTCGTATTCATCTTTTAGGGATCACAATGATTACATGAAGAATTAAACATCAAAGATTACCACCAAATATTAAAAACAGACGACATGGGTTTTAATGGTGGAATTGAATACAACACACATATGCTTTAAATCCGAGGTAGCATTTTTTGTCAAAATTATAGTCGGCACTTTTTGTTCAAATTAAAAGCTTTATAAGATTTGAGAATGTAGGGTGCATGTAGAAAATATGGGGTGCATGTAGAAAATGTAAGGTTTATATTGAGAATGTGAGGTGTGAGGGTATTATGGGGAAGTATGTGGGGTGTATTAAGATAATTTTTTATTGAGAAAGCAAACGTGGGGTGTATTAAGTATGTGAAGTTTATTCAACAATTTGTTGAGTGTTAATATAATAAGCCTTCTTAAAAAATTATATTAATTTATCAGGTTTTATCATTAGATTTAATGGATTAAACTTTGATTTAATTTGAGGAAATTACATATGATCTTGGATGCCTTTAAAAGGCTACTCCATCAACACACCTGCAATATACACCAGCACTATATTCTTCATACTTTCTTCTATTATTTTTGCGCAATGATTGTGTGACTTAGAGACATATATGAATATATAAACTTATAAAAGCACCTTCAAAGAAGATGTTAAAAAATCCATATTAGAAATACCAGTAAAAAGACAACAAGATGGTTTTCCAACTAAAATGTCAATTCTTATGTGGCATGACGTGGATTGTCAGCAAATGTGGTTGGTGTGAAACAAAATTTTAACAAAGATCAAAGTGCCACATAAGCTTTCAAATTTAAATTTTATGTTTAAAACTTGACATCTCATTTGAAGATATTCTAACTTAAATGGTTAATTAATAAAAACTTTTATTTTGTAATTAATATTCCGTGTTCAAATCCACCTCCTCAATGACATAAGGACATTACAGATCATTCCTCATAATTCATCCGCTCAGGATGAGAAAAGGGCAAGAGGTGTACAAGGATAATCGACTGTATATTAATGTTGTTAATTAACTATGTCAGTTACTTGCTTTTTTGGACGAATATTGGGGAGAAAACCACTAGATTTAGTTCACATTATTCTTCATTAGAATTTTGACGTCGAAAACTTTCGGCTCATCGTTGAACCAAGAAAATTGATGAGTTTGATGTAAAGATGAATCAAAGTGCAAATTAAATACCAATTCCTTGGGGTTTTCTCTCCACTTTTTCTTTTCTTTTGTTTGTAAAATCTTAAGGGTTTTATGGTTCCAAAAAAAAAAAAAAAAAAAAAATCTTAAGCGTTTTGCAAAATATGGATTAATAATAAGACAACACTGAATGCGATTCTATTGCACGCGGTCATGTTTTTTTTTCACCCCTTTTTCCCATAGATACTAAAAGTGAACTTCTTATTCTAATCTAAATTAAAGCTATATAAAAAAATACTAAATGTAAGCACTTGGACAATTGATGATAATGTTAGTGAAAAATAGTTAAAGAATTTTTTTTTCTGAGCAAACTATATTATTTACACTAAAAGGATGGGAGAGTGGGCTAAGCCTCACAATAAGCTAGTAATAATGTAGTTCAAATTTTTTCTTGACAAAAATCAAACCTATAATGCAATAATAGTTTAGTATACAATATAACAATTTGATTTCGGAGTGCTTTTCTTCAAATCGAGAATTTAAGTGTTTTAAACTATTAAAAGAAGTTTTGAAAGAAAAAAAAAACTAATAGTATATAAATAAAAGTTAAAAAAATAAAAAATAAAAAACCTCAGTAAAAACCTACTACATGATTAAGACAATCATTTATTTTTTATAGAAACCAAACAAAGTAGATAATTTTGGTTCATGTTGTAGGTGACTACAGAATGTGAATACCAAAAACTTTAGGGTAAATGACAAAAAGCTACCACAACTATTGGTCGCACAACATTATCATACCTCTTCTTTTAAAATCGACAATGTCATGCCTCATCTTTAGAATTTGTTCCAATGTTATACCTCTGTTAGTTTGTTCATGAATTTCTTAGTTAAATGCTGACGTGGATTGATCTGGGGCCCAGTTCCTCGCCCAAATGGATTCAACGTGGCACCACACCCAATGTTTTCCCACCAAATGGTATCCAGCTAAGATTCCCAGTACACGTGGCTTTCTCACCAGATGACACGTGGATATTCCATTAAAATTAAAAAACTAATTTAAATTTAAATTTAAAAAAATTAAAAAAGTAAGAGTACATTGTAAAGTGTGCCATTTGAATTAGTTTTCCCCTGGTACACCCATTCCAGAAAAAAAAAAAAATAAAAAATAAAAAAAGAAGAACCCTAACCCTAGTTCTCATACCAACAACTCCAAATCTCGAACAATCAGATTAGAAATTTAGTGAAAAACCCAAATCATCTTGTTGACTCACTTCCCTGACTTCGTTGGTGTTGGAAGGGGTTTAATCTGGGTTCCATTAGCTTCGAAGAAAAATGCAAAGGATTTGACATGGGGTGGTACGTGCACGAGGATCCTGACAAAACGATGCCTACAGTATTGTAAGTTTTTTTTGCGCTTTTGATGATTCCAAATGCATACTGAACTTATTTATTGGAATATGTTGAATGTGGGTTTTGTTTATTCTTGTTTGGAAATGTGGATTTATGCTTTGTGAAATCAAAATGGTACTTGAGGTGTTGGATAAAGGGTTTGTAGCTTTGTTTATTCTTATTTGAAAATGTGGATTTATGCTTTGTTAATTCAAAATGGTTCCTAAGGTGTCAGATAATGGGTTTGTAGCTTTGTTTATTCTTATTTGAAAACATGGTTTTATGCTTTCTTAATTCGAAATGGTTACTAAGTTGTTGGATAATGGGTTTGTTGCTTTGTTTATTCTTGTCGATATAAGGTGGTTTGTTGCTTTGTTGCTTTGTTTATTCTTGTCAAGATAAGGTGGTTTGTTGTGGTTTGTTGCTTTATTGCTTTCTTTATTCTTGTCGAGAAATGGTTAATTGCATTTAGTGTGTTGGATTTGGCTTTTCTTAGTCATGTGCTTTGTTTTGTGAGGAATGTTATTTAGTGTGTTGGATTTGGCTTTTCTTAGTCATGTGCTTTGTTTTGTGAAGAATGTTGTGCTTTGGTTTTTGTTGGCTTCTGATTAGGTTAAAATGCAATTTCTTTTGTTTATTGTTGGCTTTAATTAAGGTTTGTTTTTGTGAAA